AGCAAGCCTCATGTTCGCGCTTCAGTGCATGGCTGCCGGCCGCCATCTTGGCTGACAGTTAATTTGCATAAGGATATGCTGATTAGCCAATGGGAAGGGTAGCGGTCGTACGCTAATTACCATGTTTCTCTTTTATTAGTGTAGATAGGATGTAAAAAGTAAAAATAAAGAACCATTTTAAAAATTATTAGTGGAATTAGAGGTATTTTTATTCCCTTCTTAATATTTTGCCTTTCCTTTAAAAGAAGTGAAATTACCATGTATTTCTTTAATAATCCAGGATAGGGGAGCAGTAATGTTTAACATTCATTTAAGCTTTTCCTCTTCTACTCATGTCCTGAATGAGTGTGTTCTTTAGACACAGGGTGGCATGAGACCAGGCAGCACCCGAACCTGTGGCAGGGGAGCCACAGCAGCTAGGACAGGGAGGAGAGCACCAGGAGGTTGTCCCCACAGGGTAGGGTAGGGGAGGGGAAGCCTGGCATGGAGTGTCCAGGCCCAAGGACCCCAGAGGAGGGTGTCCAGACTGGCGGTAGTGGGCAGCTCCCTGTGTGGAGTCAGAGCCCAAGTGGGTAAAGCTATGTCAGGGGATGGCAGTGGTGATGGCAGACCAGGAGGGGGACTGGCCAAAGGCAACCCAGGAAGGAAAATGAGAGGCAGACTTCTCATCATCACAGGGAGCAAACAGGGAAGTCCCAGTGGTGCTGGGTGAACTCAGTAGATGCAGAAACAAGGATGGAGGCGGATTACACACAAGTACACACACTCTCACTGCTCAGCTGTCTACTGAGAGGACCTGGGAGAAGTGAATGCCCAACAGCAATGGCATCCCTAGTGCCCAGATCTTGGCTTAATACCACTCTCCATTCAAATGAATCCAGCTCCTTGGAGGAATGAGCAATTCCAGGGCTAGGAAATGATGTGGGCAAAACACAAGGTGAGCCCGAAACATCCTGTGCCAGAAGTGAGCAAGTGCTCAGAGCACCACGGGCATATCAAAGGGCCAGGAGTCGGCCTGCGTGGGCTCCCGCTGGCTAAACTGGAGACTGTTTGGGCATCAAAATAAATAATGATGCTCTAGCCGGTTTGGCTTGGTGGATAGAGCATCAGCCTGAGGACTGAAGGGTCCCAGGTTTGATTCCAGTCAAGGGCACATGCCCGGGTTGCAGACTCAATCCCCAGTGGGGGGTATGCAGGAGGCAGCCAATCAATGATTCTCTCTCATCATGGATGTTTCTATCTCTCTCTCCTTCTTCCTTCCTCTCTGAAATCAATAAAAATATATTTAAAATATATAAATATAAATAAAGACATTAATAAGTTATAACCCACTAAGTAAAATAGGAAATCAGCTCATACAAATCAATTATGGATATTAAAAAAAAATAAAATCGATAAATAGATGGAAAATTTGATGAAGCAACATGTTCTTCACATAGCTGCAAAACACCACTCTGCAATATGATGTATTAATTACAAACGAGAGGAACTTCACACAGAGAAGGCTGGCACACCCTTCATCATGTCAACTTGTAAATCGCCAGGAACAGGACAAATCAAAGCCAGGCCCCATCTGACAGGATGCAGTCGTTTTGTGCTAGTGCTGCATCCACGACCCACACGAGGGCAGTCCACAAGCACCCTGGTCACAAAAGTCAGGGAAAGACTGGAACTTGGCCAGCCTGAGGAGGCTAGAGGGACTATTAAAGGCATGTGTGACTGCACTACTCCCTCTAACAGGGCGGCACAAGTGAATGAGTCCGAGGGTTAGACAGCGGTGGGGCCGCACCAGCCAACTCCCTGGCTGGAGCTGCCCTGCAGCCAGGGGAGAATGCTTGTTCATCGGAAATATACCCTAAGATATTTGGGGAGGATGGGGCATCGGGCAGACACCTTGCTCTCAAAGGGCACAGGGGGAAATTTCCTCTGTATCATGTTTCCACCTTTTCTGTAAGTGCATGGTTCTTTCAAACACATCATTTAAGGCTGACTCTTTTCTTATCAACCTGAGCCTCAGACTGACAATCTAGCCCTTGAGAACCACAAGCAGCAACCAAGTGGCTGGACACACGCTGCCTGAGCCTCGGGTCAGCCTAGCTCTGCTCTGACTGCATATGCCTGCAGTCAGTAAGTGTGGGTTCAAATACAGGCTTCCTCCGTGATTGCTGTGACCTCTCCACAACTCAGTTTCCGCGGTTCTGGGTGAGAATGAAGACTCAGTAACAGTAGCTATTGCCGCAATCAGGATGGGGACACAAGAACCCGGCCACCTCAGCCCACGGGGATTCCAAGAGCAACATCTCCAAAAGAGGGTCTGGTCCAGGGCCGGCCTCGCCTACTTCACAACATCAGTGACCTTCTGGGACCAAGGCCAGGTGATCTCCTGGCTCTGTCGCTATCCTTAGCCTCATCCACCAGAGACAGCCTACCTGGACTCTCCCCAGTTGTGGCCACCCAGGGTGGCTAATGGAGGCTGGCTAAGGGAGGGGACATGTCCCAGCACAGCCATAATTTTCCTCAATGCGTCAGTCCTCCCACCCTTTTTACAAAAATGTGAAGCAAAACATCAGGCAAAGCACGCGTGATCTGCACACATTCTCCGGGCACACGGCCCCTCAGCCACAGCCTCAACACAGCTCCTCGCTCTGCTCTCGCTCCCTGCAGCCACCCTGGCCCTCTGTCGGCTAAGATGAGCCAGTGAGGGCCTCTCAGCAGGTGCCTGCCCCTGGGGGCTTACCTGATTAGAGCGCTTTCCTGGAGCAGCTCCCGGCTGAGGTTCAGGGGAATGTCCTCACTGTCCACCACACCTTAGAGAGACACGGCACATCAGCACCCTGGCGGGGCCTGAGACGCTGCCCCGCCCTCCTGGAGGGCCACTGGCTTCCCACCAGACCTCCGCATTCTCCTTCCAAGCCCACAGGACGTCAGACCACATGAAGGTAAGACAGAGGCAGGAAAGACAAAGGCAGGAGACTCAGTGGGGCAACACCACCCCGGCCCTGCAAGTCCTGACGTCCCGGAATTTATGCGGACAGCCTCCGTCAGGACGGTGTGACCAGAAGAAAAGCAGGCAAGGCTGGGAGCCTTTGCCAGTGAAGTTTCTAACATTTCAGCTTCACTTTGACACTGAAAACCACTTCTGGATTTTACTTTTAAAGTCATAATATGTCATGGGTATTTTGCATCTTTTTATGCCATGATGAATACAAAAGTTTATATGCTGAGTTGTTTTTTTTATTAAACTACAATCTATTTAAATGCAAGTCAGTTCATGTCTAAATCTAAAACTCATGTAATATCTTTAAACACTAAAATAACTCAAGTCCTAGCCAGTTTGGCTCAGTGGATAGAGCATTGGCCCACAGATGCAGGGTCCTGGGTTCAATTCTGGTCAAGGGCATGTACCTCAACTGCAGGCTCCTCCCAGGCCTAGGCCCTGGTTGGGACTTGTGCAGGAGGCAACCAATCGATGTGTTTCTCTCACATCAGTATTTCTCTCTGTCTTTCCCTCTCTCCTCCACTTTCTCTAAAAATCAATGAAAAAATATCCTCAGGTGAGGCTTAAAAATGAATGAATGAATGAATGAATGAATGAATAAATAAATAAATAAATAAATAAATAAAATAACTCAATTTAAACATGTCCATCTGTCCCATTTCCCCCAAATCAACCAAGACTAGTATCTGGAGGCAGTCAGCTTCCTAGGAGGCTCTGTGAGCACGCTCATCTGGCTCGCCCAGCCACAGCTGGGGCTGCTTCCCTGACACCACACTCATTAGAGATGAGCTCCTTCTGCCCAGCCAGTGAGGCTCAGTGGTTGAGCATCAACCTATGAACCAGGAGGTCATGGTTTGATTCCTGGTCGGGGCACATGCCCAGGTTGCGGGCTCAATCCCAGTAGGGGGTGTGCAGGAGGCAACCAATGATTTTCTCTCATTACTGATGTTTCTCCCTCTCCCTCCTCTGAAATCAATAAAAAATATATATTTAAAAAAAAAAAGATGAACTCCTTCTAACGCAGTCAGCACCCTGGGCCATAGGCAGGGAGCCACACCTGTCCCAGGGCGCTGGCCCCATACCTCGAATGAAACGCAGCCACTTGGGCAGGATATCAGTGGCCTTGGTCTGGATGAGGACTTTGCGGCTGTACAAAGAGATGCTGGAGCTCAGCTCCCGGCTCACATCAAACATGGATGGTTTCTGTGGGCAAGGAGGAAAGGGCAGTGTCAGCTGCACACGGGGGCAGAACCTACAAGGTCATGGGGAGCCCTGATGACGGCTCTGTGAACCACCCTGCCCAACTGGGACTGGCCTGGGAGTTGTGGGGTGGACATGCAGTGATCCAGAAGCAGAGCTAGGCCAGGAGACCCCCACATCTGTCTGTTCAGAAGTCCAGTGCCCAGGGAGGACCCCCAACAACAGCTCTCAGGGGGCCTTCTCTGGGCAGCCGCTGCCTTCCCCAATCCACTCTCCCTGGAGGATATTACAAAAGGAAGACTCACTAGTATGTCCCGTGAGCAGAACCAAACCTGCTAGGGGTTGGGGGTTAGCAAACTATAGCTCATCGATCAAATCTGGCTCATCACCCGGTTTGTGGAGCCTAGAATGGCTTTTTCATTTTTAAATGGTTGGGGGAAAAACAAAAGACGGTATTTCATGGTATGTGAGAGATACATGCAAAATAAATTCGTGTCTAGTTTCCTGGACACGACTCTGCCTGCTCCCCGAGGTGCAGGTGTGGTGCTTTCATGCCAGTGGCAGAGCGCTGTGGCTGTGCATGACTGCAAAGCCCAACCAGGCAGTCTGGCCCTCCACAGGCGTGTCTGCCAATCCTGCTCTAGCCCAGTGCTTTGACCCTGCAGTTTGCACACTTCACATTGCATCTGATAAAAGGGAGACTGATTCTGGAGGTCCTGGCGAACCCGAGATTCTGCGTTACCAACAAGTCTCAGGAAATGCTGGTGCAGCTGGGCTACAAAGGACGCTCAGTGATGAGGGTGGAGAACAGCTCTTTCCAAAGTGGATAACAGGGCTACTTGCAGCCCCAGGGCTCCAGTCAAATGAAGCCAGGGAAGCTGGGTCCAACCCCTGAGCAGGCTTCTCTGTTGCAGGCTTTGTCAGAGACTTCACCACGCTACCGTGAGCCAGGAAGTCTTAGGGGTGAAACGGAAGGATGGAGAACGCACAACTTGTGTGAGCACCACAGAATCCATCCCCCTGCAGAGCTCGGGAATGTTCTGCCTGGAGCCAGGGGAAGCCTGCAGGCTGCTCCAAGGGCCGTCTCTGCAGGCACCATTTACAAAAGCCCACCCAACAAACGCCACATAAAACACCCCCTCACTTTATAACTCTGTGTTCACCCACCCAGAGGCACAGGTTTTTCTTTTACTCTGATGCTGCCAAGTAAATTTTGGGGATATGTCTGTGCTGAACTGTCACGGTTCAGGAAGTGCTGCGGGTGATGCCCCCGCTCAGGGAGCTGCAGACTTGCCACTTGCAGCCCCAGCATGCTGAGGGCGGCGGGCAGCTGTGCTCACCATCTCCGGCACATAGAAGATGCTGCGGATATTGAGAGGGGCGTCCGTCTTGTAGTGCAGAGTGTAGCGGGGCTTGTCGTGGGCCTGCGCGATGTAGCGGTAGAATTCCTCGTGCTGCCACTGGCCCACGTCCTTGGGGTCCATCATCCAGATGGCCTGGAAATGGACGTGAACGGGGAATGTTATGTTTAAGACAGTTCCTCACAACAACCGCATGGAGCTGAGCTGGTGGGGCTCGTGGCACCTGGTGCTAGTGATGCTCCCTCAGGATGAGAGAGGACTGGCCTCCTAGGACAGACCGGGGTGGTGGCCTCAGGTGCAAGCCCCTCCCTCTGCCTCCGGCCCCACCCGCTCTAGCACTGAGGGAAGGGGTGCCCCAGAATGGGTGGGTAAGGGGCCCACAAAGAGAGAGACACACAAAAGGCTCCGACAACAAGGACCCCTTCCCAAGCAGTGTGTCCAGCAGGGCCAACCAGGAGGCAGGATCTGGACGTGCCCACACATCATCAACACTTGGCGTCAACCAGCAAGTGGTAAAGAAACCGCCCAGCCAAATGATGGGATATTACTCAGCCCAACAAGGACAACACAGGTGAACCGCAACACATTATGTCAGGAGGCCAGGCACAAAAGGCCACATCACTGATTCCATTTATATGAAATGTCCAGAATAGGACATTCCATATAAATGTGGTTCAGAAAGCAGAATGTAGTTGCCAGAGATGGGGGTAGATGGGGAGGGACTGCTGATGGGTACAGGTTTTCTCTGAGGGATGAAATGTTCTAGAATTGACTGTGCTGATGGCTGCATGGCTCTGAAAACTAAGCACCACGGCCCTGCGCACTGTAAGGGTGAAATGTGTGGTGCGTGCGTTACAGGTGATGCACTGGGATAGGGGTGGGGGGGGGGGCTCGTCTGCATCATGGATCTCGCCTCTCCACAAAGAACACCTTGTCCTGGGATTCTGACATCATCCTATCCTATTTCTGCCCATCTAGCCCCAAAATGTACCAACTGGCCTCCATAGCTGCCTGAGCCCTTCAAGCAGCTGCGGGTCTCACCTGCAAGGTATTGATGCGCTTCCCATTGAGGTACAAGGGGAAACTGACGAAGTTACTGTATTTTGTCACCACGTCTGGAAGAGACAAAAGAATAACAGTGACTACAGGAAGCTTCTAGAAATAAAAGCTCCGGAAGTTGCTGCAGGGGCAACTCGCAGGCTGGGGGGACTCGGTGCTGGCCCGTGCCCAGGTGGGAAGCCAGGACACAGCAGGGACACATCCTGCCCGCATACGCTGAGCAGGACTCACACCAGAACCAGATGCCTCCAGGTCCAGGCCGCCATGAGACCAGGCCGCCTTCTTGGTCACATGAATGCGGTTTTGTCAGCTGGCGGTGGACCCTGGAAAGCACTCGGCACCTGCGATAAGCGTTTAGTAAGACGTGGACAGAGAAAACCAAACACAGCAGCACCCCCTCTGGTTCTCAGTGAAGCCTGGGCTCAGGCCGGCCAGGTGGGTGGGCCAGCGATAGCTGAAAACACAGGGAGTGATGCAAAGACTGTGCGAGTGACCGAAGTCACACACAGCCTGAAGGGAGGAGAGAGAACGGCACCCGACTTGGCCAGCAGTCAGGAGGCTAAGCCTGGCCTCCTGGTTCCACACGGGGTCAGCCGGAGCCTGTCCTCAGAGTGTGTCCTCGTAGGGTCCAGGCAGCCACGCCCAGAAACACCCCGCCGCCAGCTCGGCCCGAGTTCCCCGCACACTCCCACCCTGACAGGATCTCCTAAAACACGCCAGCAGGAGGTGCCGCGCTGACTGTGCTGCCGCCCACATGTCCAGAGGCCCAGGCTCCCGCTCACCTCGAACCCGGGCCTCGCTGGCAAACTCTCTGCAGTCTGACTTGAGATGGATGATGATTTTGGTTCCAGTTCTAACTCCTGAAGCTTCGGCAATTTCAAATACCCCGGAGCTAAGACACAGGAGAGGGAGAGAGCCAGTTCCGCACGTTACTACCGACAAACCCCACCCGCAGGTCAGTGACGCTCCCTGGGTTTTCACAGCAGAGCCTAAGCTGACACACAGAAGGGAGGCCAGATGCCACCTTTTACTACCCAGCTGAGCCCCAGACCGGCAACCTTCTGTCGGGGACTGTGGCTGCTGTGGGGTGGGATGGGGGCCCTCCTGCTCCCCAGGGCATGGTCTCAGGAGCACAACCTCTCGAGCTTTATGTCCACCTGAGCGGCTGGGGTGCTGTGCCAGGTGCTGGGAGCAATCAGAGGCCTGGAGACCGCCCCTAACTCCCTTGTTAACTGCATGTCTGAGCCTCTAGCAGAAGCCAGGGGTCTCCTTGAGCAGAGAAACTGTTTCAGGAGAAAAAGAGGAGGGGACGAACCCCCAACAAGGTTGCTACCTTGTTGCTTCCTTGGCCCAAGTGTACTCTGAGCACTGCTTTCATGGAATAAAACAGAAATCTAAATTGTGGCAGGGAGATGAGCAGTGCTCTGGCCCGGCCTCCTGCGTGTGCTACTGAAACCACAGTGGAGGACAGAGACTCGGTCAGGAAAGCCGGTTCGGAAGGAAGTTTGGGGCCTGCTGAACAAGTGCTCACATTCAGCCAAGGCACCATCTTCTGCAAATAGTGTCTTGGAACATGGACTTACTGAGCTGTAAGACACGACCCCAGTGAACACTGGAGAGCAAAACCAGCATCTCTGAGGGGAAACCCGAGTCCTGTGCTGGCGGGAAAGCAGGGCCAGGCCCGTGGGTCAAACGTGGAAGTTCCAGGGTCAGGAGGAATCAAAACTGGGCTCCCACAGGACAATGTCCAGGGACACTGCCCAGGGCCAGGGGGCACCAGGAGAATGGCCAAACCATGAACCAAGGAGCCTCGCCTGGGATGGTCTACACTCAGAGCACAGTCATGGAGCCCAAACAGACACCAGGGGCCACTGGGATCAGAAAGCAGGAGGGTCAGCTCCCTGTAAAAGGCTGGAAAGGCCTGCAGACATTTCCTGAGGGGGGTCTAACTTTCCAAATGAAGGGCAACGCTTCTGCTGAATTCAGGTGACACTGAGCTGCGGTGGTCCCAGGGCAGGGGGCACTCCTTGGGTATGACTCGGGGACGCTGCTGTCACTTACCCATCTGAAAGCCACTGGTAACCCGGGCTGTCCGGGCTGACTGAGCGGGAATAGACCTCAACTCTGTCGGCCACCATGAAAGCGGAGTAGAAACCCACTCCAAACTGGCCAATGATCTTGCTGCTGGCCTCTGCCTGGTTCTGCAGCGCATCCAGGAAGGCCTGTGGGGGCAAAGGCTGGTCAGGGGGAGGGCTTCACTCCCAAGAGAGGACGAACGCTGCGCCTCCCTGTGTGCGTCCCTCTCACGGCTAAGATACCATTTCATCCTCCAAACAAACACACCACCCATTTTACCCCCAGAGAACAATGCCATGGAGCGGTAAAGTGAGTTGCCCAAAGACCCCAAGCTGGGCAGCAGGGGGACCGGTTCTGTATCTGCTTCCTAGGGCTTGTAACCCTGCCTGTCGCTGTGGGCCACACCCCCCGGAGTGAGGAAGGGCAGTGTGAGTGAGTGCACACATCCTTCCTGCAGGAAAGGGGGGAGTGGCAGCTTCTGAGGTTCAGTAGGTGAAGGGATGTGACATGCATGCCCAGATGTGTCTCCTGCATGTCTTCTAGATTCCATGCTTCATGGGGAAACAGTACATACCAAGTACATGCTTTGTATGACGTACCACCGGGCACTTAACTATTATAACTCAAGTTATCAAATTTCCTAAGATTAAAAATCAAGCAAAATGAATGCACTCATTGCTATGAATACTGTCCAACTGAACATTCTGTGATTATGTAAATGTTTTATATGGTCCAATATGGTAGCTACTGACCTCATTTGACTAGTGCAACTGAGGAACTAAATTTTAAATTGTATTTAATTTCAATCCAAATGGCCACATATAGCTAGTGAAATAGCACAGATTTCCCTTGATAGAAATACAATATATGTAATGGGGGGGAGCAGGTTATAATAAAGAAGTTTTTTAAAAGTGGAAATTTCTGTCCTGCTGGTGTAGCTCAGTGGTTGAGCATCAACCTATGAACCAGGAAGTCAGGGTTCGATTCCCGGTCAGGGCACATGCCCAGGTTGCAGGCTCGATCCCCAGTGTGGGGCGTGCAGGAGGCAGCCAATCTATGACTCTCTCAACATTGATGCTTCTCTCTCTCTCTCTCTCTCTCTCCCTCTCCCCCCTTCTCTCTCTTCCTCCCTCCCTCTCTCCCCTCCTCTCTGAAATCAATAAAAAAGTGTGTGTGTGTGTGTGTGTGTGTGTGTGTGTATATATATATTTTTTTTTTTTTTTAAGTGGAAATTTCTGTAAATCACTGTGGACCAATAAGTAGACTATTTTCAAGCACCTGGCACTAAGTGCCATTTTAGGCACCACTCAGGCCCACAAAACAAACAAGAAGCTTTTGGTCACCAAGGAGAAGCACAAAGACAGCCAAGGGCCACCAGCCTTTGTCTTGCGCTGGCACGAAAGCCGCTGAGGAGGACACCTTGACCACTGACACTTGCCTCCCCTCATAGGCTTCAGGTTGCACAGCAATCAACCACCCGCAATGGGCACCCTGTCTCCACAAAGGGTTTCTGAAGGATCATCCTGCCTACAGACACTGCAGGCAAATTTATTCTTGTGACCCTTGTCTGAGAGGAGGAACACTCACTTGTGCCTGCCCTCTTTGCCTCAAGCCTATGCAGCTCAAGTATTCACTGAGAAATGAGTCAGAGAAAAGCTTCAGGAGGCAGAATGGCACATTCCAGACTCAGACCAACAGGCTCTGAACCTTGGGCCGGTCAATTCCCAACTACGCAAAAGTACTTATTTCAGCCTTTAAATCTATAAAATAATAGAACCTTCCTCAGATGTCCCCCTGACCACACAGTGGTCAGGGCACATGGTGGTTCCATAGCACCAACACGGAGCTCCCACCAGAGAATATTCCTACTGAAGCTGGTGTTCAGAGCGAGCTGGCACCCCCCTCTCCAGTGGGAGCTGCCTTTTAAGGACAGGAAGGAAAGGGCACTGAGGGGCTTACCTTTGACCCCGACTTGGCGATTGTTCCCAGGTTGGACACCAACTCCTCCTGTGTCATCCCAATGCCAGTGTCCTAAGGAGAGAGACACGCTAAGCACCAGGGTGCCGGCACCTGGGCAGGTGTATGGACAGCCCTGAGTCACAAGTGGCATCAATTACACTTGCCAGGCAGGGCCCAGAAAATGGCACATGGTCATCAGAAAAGACAAATTCTAGTCATACCAGCCATACCTCAGGAGAAAACCTCACTAGAAAATAGACTCATAGACCAAAGAGAAAACCGGTCCAAAAACAGAGCTGCACAGAGTGTCACTTGATTTTCAACAAAGGTGCCAAGATAATTTCATGGAGAAATGAAATCCACATGGTGCTAAAACACTGCATAGCCACATGCAAACATTAATCTCAACCCTGACCTTACTTACACCATACACAAAAATGGATCACGGACCCAAGTGTAAGAGCTAAGATTGTAACACTTTAGAGGGAAATATCGGAGAATATCTTTATAACTTTGGAACAGGTAGACATTTCTTAGTTAGGTCACTAAAAGCATGAAGCATGGAAGAGAAAAGTGATAAACTGGACTTCACTAAAATTAAAAATGTCTGCTTTTCAAAAGCCACCTAAGAAAATAAAAGACAAGCCACAGACTGCACCCAAGCCTGAAGTTAGGTGTCAATCTGTTAACAAAAATTTAAGAAGAACCCTCTCAGAAACCACTTCTTTCCTATCCCACCAGTGTCTGAAGAGCACCTTTCCCTCAAACAGGCCTTCCACTTACAGTGAGGCCAGCACACAGGTGGGGCAGGGGCGGGGGAGGGGAGAAGTGGGCTGATCTGACCCCCAAGGGGACAGAAGCTGGACATCAAAAAGATACATAAATATAATATTTATGAGCACAAGACCTGGGAATATTTCCTGAAAAGTCCCTTTTAACTTTGGAAGTTGGTGCTTTATCCTTCTTCAGAATTCTTCTTTGCAATCTAGTAATAATGAACATGGAAACAATGATGGCCTCTTTGTTCTCTAATTTCTTCATGGCCTGTCATCCCTAGATGAGTTTTAATCTCCTCAAAAAGGTCCTTAGTAGCCCCTCCCTGCTGTACTCCACAGAAGTCCAAGAGATCTTCCTCTGGAATGAAGGAAGTATACCAGTTGATGAGAAAAGGGGCTTTTAAATTACCAGCAAAATTAATTAATTTCCAGAGTCAATTTGGCCCAAAGAATCATCTAGATATATTTACCCAAGCAGATTTTGGCAAAAATACTTTGGCTGGTAACTAAGATTAGGATCTGTCTAAATTTAGTGCATTCTCACAGCTAATATACTATCTGGCATCTCCCCCAGAATAGTATAAAAACGGTTTTGCAAAAAAAAAACCCTTGCTATGCTAGGAGTGACTGAAGGTACCGCACCTCTTTTTCTGAGTACAAGGAACGGGCAACAATGTCCAGAAGCTTCTTTGTCTCAGCCTGGAACTCATGTTTGGAAACAGAACCTAGTAATGAATCACAGACACAGCAATAAAGTTTAATTTCTATTTTTGTGGAAGAATATGCTATACACCATTCAAAAGAATGTTTAAGGTAATGAGTTTTAAACATTTTGCCAGAGTAAATAAAGAAGAAAGAAACCAATTCTCTGGGGCTCTATGGCAGGATCTCAGGAGCAGAACAAACCTAGTGGGGCCTCCTTCCCCACAGAAAGGGGCGAAGGGAGACAACTCTCACCCGCCTCCCTCCGCGGCCGACACCAAGGCCGGTACTTCCCAACGTGTCCAGTCATGAGAATCGCCTGGCTCAACAACCAGACCCTGGACTCCAGTCTTCAAAACACTGGTTTCCAAATTAATTACTTATGAAGCAGAATAACAAGAAAACCTCAGTCTCTTAACCTAAACATCAAAGATTCTGTTGTCTCATTTGAAAGCCAGAAATGGACCCACTTTGGGACTGGCTCTAGAGACTGCTTCTCTACACTTCTTAGGAATGAAAGGACAACTTCAGCGTGTGGTCCTGCATCGGCCAGGCCAATAATGAGTTTCCTTCTGGCTTCCATGATTATTAACAGATGTGCCATGAATCACTATTTAGAAGGTGCCCCGTCGCAAACCCATGGGTGACCACTAGAGGGGGCAATACACCAGAATGAAAGTCAGGAGTTCCGAGGACACATTCATTGTTTTGAGGAACGTTCCCTCCAACCAAGACCTTCCTGTGTCTGAAGCGAGTGGGTGGTTCCACCAATCATTACTTCCACCTCAAAAACCTGCCCTCACCAGCCAGCCAGGAGCTAAGCCTTCCCAGACCCCAACGCAGCTGAATGCAGTACCCTGTACGGTCTCTGTGCTGCTAATGATGGAGTGCACAAATTTTTGTGCACCGGGCCTCTAGTAATAATGAACATGGAAACAATGATGGCCTCTTTGTTCTCTAATTTCTTCATGGCCTGTCATCCCTAGATGAGTTTTAATCTCCTCAAAAAGGTCCTTAGTAGCCCCTCCCTCCTCTACTCCACAGAAAAGAAAGTGTACACTGGTCAAAAATCAATGAACTGAACTGGTGAATTTTATTATATGTAAATCATACCTCAATTAATCTTATTAAAACAACAACAAAGACAAGCACACACACAGAGACCAGAGAGACTAAGGAAACAAGAGCACACAAAAGACGCCCTACAGCGAAGTCCTGAGCAGGTGAGCCAGTGTAGTGGCGGAGGCAGGAAGCCTAATGAAAAACGCCCACTTAGAGCCCCACTGAGGCACATCCTGCTACCCCCACAGAGACGCACACCCCAAAATTCCACCATGACTCTGGATGACAGTTTCTGAAGCAGCTTTTTCGGGATCATAATGTCCCCTTCGGGGCACTGCCTGATAAACCTTCTTTGCCTTTCTAACTTTTTGACCTTAAAATTTTCAAAAGGTTACAACAGCAACCAAAAGTATTGCTTCATCAAAAGCAAGACTGTTAATTCAAAGAGCCGGATAAGATTAAAATAAGATTAAAAATAGTACTACAGAATATAGGTGCATGGGAAAATATGCTTTACAAATGAACAAGAACAGTTGAGGCCCCGGCCAGCGTGGCTCAGTTAGTTAGAGCATCATCCCATGCACCGAAGGGTCTTGGGTTCGATTCCCTGTCAGGGCACATGTCCAGGTTGCAGGTTCAATACCTGGTTAGGCCACATATGGGAGGCAACCAATCAGTGTTTCTTTCTCACGTCGATATCTGCCTCTCTCTCTCTCTCTCTCTCTTTCTGGAATCAATGAAAAACATATCTTCAAGTGAGGATTAAAAAAAAAACCAACAACGGTGCAATATACAAATCTTGTAACATAGAAACCCACACCTGAAACCTATATAATCATGTTGACCAATGGCACCCCAATAAATTTAATTTTTCAAAAATGAAGAGTACTCAATAAAAATTTAACAGTGAAACCTATATAATTTTATTAACCAATGTAACTCTCAGATAAATTCAATAAAAGTATGAAAAAATATGAAGAGTACCTTAAAAAATAATGTAGTTTAAAAATGTTTAGACGTGTAAACAAATGCACAGATACCAAAAACCTAAATAGACAGATGGGTTATTTTAAATTTCCTCCTTTTCTACTTATTTGTGTTTTCCAAACTTTCTACATTGAATAAGTCTTGTTTTGGTTGCATATTAAAACAAGAGTTATTATAGCTGTAAAGGTGGTCAGCACAACCCTTTGGGCCTAGAGGCGTAACAAAAGGGCAGGTCCGTCTCCTCGATCCCCGTGAGCGAAGAGGACCACTTCCCGTCACCTCAGTGGCATCAGCACAAGAGGCAGGGAGGCGGCCACCCGTCAGGATGCAGGAGGAGGTACCTGGATTGTGATGGTGCCTCTCTCCGTGTCCGTCTGCAAGTGAATCTCCATTTCTGGCAGCGTCTGGCCTTCAGACACCAGCTTGTGACGCAGCTTTTCCAAGGCATCACTAGCATTGGAGATCAGCTCCCGAATAAACACCTGCAGGAATGAACATAAGATGCTAACACTGCAGGACCTATTGGTTAGCAGCATCTGCAGCAACTGCTAAAAGGAGGAGAGAATTGCCACAGAATATTCAGTTTTTAACCATAAAGACTTCCCACAGCTTTATACAGTGGCCTCTAACTCTACTGATTGTTCCTCCTGAAAATCAAGCCTGAAGTTAGGCGTCAATCTGTTAACTAAAAATTTAAGAACCCTCTGAGAAACCACTTCTTTCCCATCTCTTGCCCAAGGGTGACAAAATATCTCGCAAACATCTTTCTCCTACTCATTGAAGAAAGACTCTCTGGCTTTGGCTTCATTTACTCTAGGAGAGTGGTCGGCAAACTCATTAGTCAACAGAGCCAAATATCAACAGTACAACGACTGAAATTTCTTTTGAGAGCCAAATTTTTAAAACTTAAACTATATAGGTAGGTACATTGTTATTAACTTAATTAGGGTACTCCTAAGCTGGCCTCAATCTGATTGAGGTACGTTCGCTGAGGTCAACCGCTTCCAACTCTCCCATCCACACTCGTCTTGTATACTTGTTTCATCTATCTCCTTTCCAAAAACCGACTTCTGCGCATGGGCCACGAAGTTTCAATCGCACTGTACATGCGCGCCCGCACGTGGTATTTTGTGGAAGAGCCATGCTCAAGGGGCCAAAGAGCCACATGTGGCTCGCAAGCCGCGGTTTGCCGACCACTGCTCTAGGATCATCAAAAACTGGCCTACCATGTTCAGGATAAAAAGGGGCCACAGGCCCTGACCGGTTTGGCTCAGTGGATAGAGCATCGGCCTGCGGACTGAAGGGTCCTGGGTTTGATTCTGGTCAAGGGCACATGCCTGGGTCACGGGCTCGATCCCCACTAGGGGGTGTGTCTGCTTTTCAAAAGCCACCTAAGAAAATAAAAGACAAGCCACAGACTGCACCCAAGCCTGAAGTTAGGTGTCAATCTGTTAACAAAAATTTAAGAAGAACCCTCTCAGAAACCACTTCTTTCCTATCCCACCAGTGTCTGAAGAGCACCTTTCCCTCAAACAGGCCTTCCACTTACAGTGAGGCCAGCACACAGGTGGGGCAGGGGCGGGGGAGGGGAGAAGTGGGCTGATCTGACCCCCAAGGGGACAGAAGCTGGACATCAAAAAGATACATAAATATAATATTTATGAGCACAAGACCTGGGAATATTTCCTGAAAAGTCCCTTTTAACTTTGGAAGTTGGTGCTTTATCCTTCTTCAGAATTCTTCTTTGCAATCTAGTAATAATGAACATGGAAACAATGATGGCCTCTTTGTTCTCTAATTTCTTCATGGCCTGTCATCCCTAGATGAGTTTTAATCTCCTCAAAAAGGTCCTTAGTAGCCCCTCCCTGCTGTACTCCACAGAAGTCCAAGAGATCTTCCTCTGGAATGAAGGAAGTATACCAGTTGATGAGAAAAGGGGCTTTTAAATTACCAGCAAAATTAATTAATTTCCAGAGTCAATTTGGCCCAAAGAATCATCTAGATATATTTACCCAAGCAGATTTTGGCAAAAATACTTTGGCTGGTAACTAAGATTAGGATCTGTCTAAATTTAGTGCATTCTCACAGCTAATATACTATCTGGCATCTCCCCCAGAATAGTATAAAAACGGTTTTGCAAAAAAAAAACCCTTGCTATGCTAGGAGTGACTGAAGGTACCGCACCTCTTTTTCTGAGTACAAGGAACGGGCAACAATGTCCAGAAGCTTCTTTGTCTCAGCCTGGAACTCATGTTTGGAAACAGAACCTAGTAATGAATCACAGACACAGCAATAAAGTTTAATTTCTATTTTTGTGGAAGAATATGCTATACACCATTCAAAAGAATGTTTAAGGTAATGAGTTTTAAACATTTTGCCAGAGTAAATAAAGAAGAAAGAAACCAATTCTCTGGGGCTCTATGGCAGGATCTCAGGAGCAGAACAAACCTAGTGGGGCCTCCTTCCCCACAGAAAGGGGCGAAGGGAGACAACTCTCACCCGCCTCCCTCCGCGGCCGACACCAAGGCCGGTACTTCCCAACGTGTCCAGTCATGAGAATCGCCTGGCTCAACAACCAGACCCTGGACTCCAGTCTTCAAAACACTGGTTTCCAAATTAATTACTTATGAAGCAGAATAACAAGAAAACCTCAGTCTCTTAACCTAAACATCAAAGATTCTGTTGTCTCATTTGAAAGCCAGAAATGGACCCACTTTGGGACTGGCTCTAGAGACTGCTTCTCTACACTTCTTAGGAATGAAAGGACAACTTCAGCGTGTGGTCCTGCATCGGCCAGGCCAATAATGAGTTTCCTTCTGGCTTCCATGATTATTAACAGATGTGCCATGAATCACTATTTAGAAGGTGCCCCGTCGCAAACCCATGGGTGACCACTAGAGGGGGCAATACACCAGAATGAAAGTCAGGAGTTCCGAGGACACATTCATTGTTTTGAGGAACGTTCCCTCCAACCAAGACCTTCCTGTGTCTGAAGCGAGTGGGTGGTTCCACCAATCATTACTTCCACCTCAAAAACCTGCCCTCACCAGCCAGCCAGGAGCTAAGCCTTCCCAGACCCCAACGCAGCTGAATGCAGTACCCTGTACGGTCTCTGTGCTGCTAATGATGGAATGTGGGGGCTCCTCCTTCTGGTCCTCAGCAGCTTGCGAGCTGAATGGACGTGCAATGTGGAAGCTCAAAGCCAGGTTTCGCCTGGGGCAACTTGACTGGACCGGGGCTCTCCAAGGACACAGAACTGGTTTTCCTGAAAAGACAAACATGCACAAAGAATAAGCCCTCGGGAATAGATGACCTAATGTGGTTGGTCACCAACATATTTGGTAACATCCTCACCCAAGTCAAATACCAGGAAGTACCAGAACTCGGGCAGAATTCCGAAGCAGACGGGGCCGCGTGGCGCCACTTCCCACATACACCCCCCAGTGAGATCTTGTATAAAGTCCCCAAACTCAAACATCCCTCATCCCTCAATGCCCACCGCCCCCACAGGAGCCTGAACAACGACAGGCCAGTCTTCCTCACTTTAACTGCAATGAAAAAATGTAGAAAATATGTCCCCTTGAGAGGAATCCAAATTTTTAAATGTTAATATTCTGAGACAGTCTCCTCTTCTAAAGGATCTTTGTTGATTCCTTTATTTTCCTTTTTTGTCTGAAACTGTCAGTTTTTTTAATTAGTGTACTGAAAAAATGAAAAGTAGCGAGGGATCTCTTCTACCTCAGGAAGGGGCCTCACTCTCTCACCTTTTCTGTAACTGCTCAGCACAGTGGCCCCAGGAACCACTGCAAAGGAAGATGGGAAACCCGTCATAAGCTGGTGTCCCCGGCCCGGCGGACAGATGCTACAAACACAAGTGGACACCTCCACTGTACCCGGCAGGAATCAATCCTCACTACAGCCCCTCAGGACAGGGTCCCGCACCAACTCCAGGACCACCAGCCTGGGCACTGGCATCAGTCAGTCTGTGCTTCATGGCCAATGCTTTCAAGGACACAGGTCAGACATGCAAGACCCTCCGAGTGGAAGTCTAGACCTTGCTGAACGGTGCCTGACAGAACGTCCAGAAATAACCTTATGGTTTTAAAATCAACATATCAACTTCCACATGCCTACAAGGTATACAAAGTTGACTTTTTTTTAGCTTACTCCTGGATTTATAAATAACATGGCCTTAGCCATTACCTCTGTGCAGAATACCTTAAAAACATCTATCCCAACTCAAAAAATATTCAATTTCCAGTCTAAATTTTTAATTCTCTGTGCCTAAGCTCAGTGTTTACTTTACCCATAGAGCTTAAAAAAAAAGGAGCAAAACAAACAAACAAAAAACCCGGGGTATCTCTTTCTTCTGGAAGTAAAAGATATTTGGTTAGAGGGCTGCTCTGCACCAGGCCAGGGGAGCTGAAGTCCCTGAGCTTCCAGCCAGCCCCCACCCCAGGCAGAGAGCCCACGGTGAGCTCTTCCCACCAGGGACAGCACTCCTGGGCACATTTGGAGACACGAGCACGTTTCCCACCAAAGGTGGGGGCCTCTGCCTAAAAGCACAGTTAGACTTCAGGGACAAAACCAGTGAGAGTGGGATAAAGAAGAGATGTCTGAGGGACGTCAGACCCAAGTCACTTCAGGATGGGATCTGGATTTAAATTCTACATGAAACACTGTGATCCAGACAGACTGACAGGAGTGTGAGCGTCGGAGCCACTAAAATGAGGAGGATGAAGGAGGTCCTCCAGAAGAGAAGACTTCCTCATTTCAGCAAACACTGACAGCATTTTAGACATTCTTCCATCTAATATTCCTCTTGCCCCCTTCCACCTGGCAACCACTCCCTCTACCTGGCCAAAGAGAAGGGCAGAGGTGCAGTCTTCCCAAGTCTTCTTCCAGTAGAGACATCAGGTAGCGTTTATCACGGCCCCTATCCCCTCCAGCCACGTGGGCAGTCCTCCCCTGTCCAGTCCCTTGTCCCTGCCTACCTTTGAGCTCATCTCCTACACAACGTTCTCTCCAATGCATCCCTTAAATTTCTACACATTCATCTTCTGACACCAATTCCATCTTACTTCCCCAATTTTGGAGGATTTATTCCTGAATGCAACCTTGTCAACTCTAAATGCTTCGGGGTGGTATTCCAGGCCCTCCACCAAACCACCCCACAAACCAATAGAATTCTACCTCCTTCCAGAAGCCCCAACCCAGCAGGTCTGCTGACATCCTCCATACACCTTGTGCCCCTACCTGTATGGTAACCAGCACTGGGGGTACCTCTGCCCTCCTCTCCATATACCATCAAGCTCGATCTTGACACATAGGGAGCACTTTGACACCCCAAACATTAGATTTCACACCCTCAAGAAGAGATGCTGGTTTTCCTCACTGGTGAATTTATTCGGAGTAAAGTATTCTTGATCCACTCCATTTGCATAAAAGCAGAATTTACTGAATTAATCTTTTGTTATTGGTTTATTAATCCTCACCTGAGGATATTTTTTCCATTGATTTTTAGAGAGAGTGGAAGGGAAGGAGGGAGAGGGAGAGGGATAGAGACCAAGACACTGATGTGAGAGAGGCATCAATTGGCTGCTTTCTGCATGCATCCCGACCAGGGCCGGGGGTGAAACCTGCAACCCAGGTACATGCCCTTGACTGGGAATTGAACCCGAAACCCTTCTGTGCACAGACTGACGATCCAACCACTGAGCCATACTGGCTAGGGCAATCTTTTTTTTTTTTTTTAAATCCTCATTCAAGGACATGCTCAGAGAGAGTGCTCACAACATTGATCAGTTGCTTTCTGTACCAGCCTGACGGGAACAAACCCAGGTATGTGCCCTAATCAGGAATCCAACTGGCAACCTTTTAGTGTACAGGATGACACTCAACCACTTGAGCCACTCTGGCTGGGCTTACCATTTATCCTCACTTCCTGCCCTGCCTTGCTCTGCTAGCAGAGTCCTTTCCTTGCCATCTATCTTTTGGTCCTCAGAAAAGAAAAGGTTGCATTCCCCCATTGCCTCTCAGCTAAAACCTCCCCTACCCCAAAGAAAACCAGAAATCAAAGGAAATAAAAAAATTCAGAGGCTAACGGCTCTTAGTATTTTGAGACCTCCATAACTGCCCGTTCTAAACCTGCCCCCAGATTAGTGTGTATGTGTGGTGGGGGGCAGGGAGGGTAATGCTGTTTGATATATGGCTGGCATACTTTTCCTAAATATTTCCATTCTTACATGTATAAATGTTTTAATCAAGTACACATCTTAGAGATCATTCCAAATCATTACAGAGAGTTGCTTATTCTTTTTAACAAACACAAATGTTCTACTATGATGGGTACTAGCGCTCAATTTATGAATGTTCAAACTGCTTCCGGTTTTGTACTATTAAAAATAATGTTCCAGCCCTAGCCAGTTTGGTTCAGTGGGTAGAGCATCAGCACGTGGACTGAAGGGCTGTAGGTTCCATTCGGGTCAAGGGCACATGCCTCAGTTGCAGGCTCGACCCCAGGCCCAGTCAGGGTGCATGCAGAAGGCAACCACCCAATTGATGTGTCTCTCTCACATCGATGTTTCTCTCTGTCTCTCCCCCTCCTTTCCACTCTCTCAAATCAATGGGAAAATATCCTGAGGTGAGGATTAACAACAAAAAATGTTTAAAAAAAATAATAATAATGCTCCAAAGTGTTATCTACTGCATGCTACCCTTCATGGAAGAAAGACAGGAATACAGGAAAATATCTGTTTCCACTAATCTGTGCAAAAGAAACACAGGAAGGATAAACTACAAACTAATGAGATTGTGTGTATCCATTTCCTAGGGCTGTGTAACCAAATGCCACAAACCCGGTGGATGAATACAACGAAAATGCATTCTCTCACAGTCGTGGGGGCCAGAAAGCAGAAATAAAGGTGTTAGCAGGGCTGACTCCTTCTGGAGGCTCTAGGAGAGTTTGTCCACACCCCTCTCCCAAGCTTCAGGTGTTACCCACAATCCTTGGTGCTCCTGGCTTGTAAGTGTATCATTCCAACCTCTGCCTCTGTCATCACACAGCCCTCTCTTCCCTGTGTGCATATCCTGTGTCTAAATTTACCTCTTCTTTGTTTTTTGTTTTGGGTAACCCTCACCTGAGGATATTTTTCCATTGATTATTATAGAGTGGAAGGGAGGGGGAGAGACACAGAGAGAGAAACATTGATGTGAGAGGCACACATCAACACATTGATCAGTTGCCTCCCACATGAGCCCTGACCATGGCTGGGGTTCAAGTCTGCAACTAAGGTACTAGAATGTGCCCTTGACTGGAATCGAACCTGTCGGGACCCTTTAGTCCGCGGGCCGATGCTCTATCCACCCCAGTAGCCATGGGCACACCTGGCACCAGGGAGAGCGACCATCCTGAAACTGCCCACCTGAAAGTTGTATCTCCCAGGAAGCACCTTCATCCTGGGCAAACCAGGGTGGGCAGTCACCCTCCCTGGCACCAGATCTTGGTTTGTAAATACCACTGTCCGCTGAACGGAATCAGGACATTGGAAAACACACAAGATAAGCCTGGAATACCTTGGGGTGCCAGAAAGTGAGGAAGGACTCAGAAAGGTGGGGCATGCCGGAAGGACATAGGCTCCTACAGGAAGGTGCGCCCAACAGCAAAATCTAGGACAATCTGGGCAACAAAATAATGAAAGTAATGGACTGCAAACTGACAAATAAAAGAAGTACCTGTTAGTCCATACTTAAATAAATAATAAATAGATGGGAGGGGCGGAGAAAGGGCCTTCCTTACAGCAGACCTGCAATTAATATATGTATAAGGAATGATGGAATAGACATCACCGTTAAGCAAGCATAGTAATAGTTGTGACAGGTATAAATTGTTGATGGATAATTAAAGGTCCACCAGAAACAGAATATTTGCATAATCTCAAACTATGCCCCACAAGATACTTATTGACTTTAAAGAGAAAAACCAGTTTACCATGGAGAAAGTAGTAAATACCCCTTAACTAAGTGATCACAATCACCATCATCAGGAATGAAATGAGTCAACATCCTGCAACTCCTGGTGTGGTGAGTGGGCATGGCCTTCCTTTTGTCAAGTTCTTGCCAAAAATGTATCTCAATCTAATGACAAGAAAACATCAGACAAACCCAAATTATGGGACCGCCTATAAAATAAATGGTCAAAGGCACCAAGGTTCTGAAGGACAAACACAGACTGAGGAACCATCACAGACTGGAGGGGACTGAAGAAACACGACTAAGTGCAATGTAGATTCCTGGACCAAAATAAGGAAATCAACGGGAACACTGGCTAACTTAAAAGAAAATCGACAGATAACTGAACAGTGTTGTTTAATGTTATTTCAATTGTCAATAGCTGTACCATAGTTATGCAAGATATTAATGTCAGGGGAAACTAGGTGAAGAGAGGGAATCCTGAGTACTATTTTTATAACATTTCTGTAAAGTAGGAGATTAATTCAAAATAAAATGTTTCAAAATAAAAAAAATGCTTTAGAAATACTCTTATACATGTGTCATTTCACTTATGCATGAGTTTACATCTTAGTATACATCTAGTCCAGGGTTATGTCTAGTTTAAAATATGGTCAGTGCTGCCAAGTCACCCTCTAGAGAGGCTGTATCAGCTTACATGCCCACCAGCAACATATGAGAGTGTGCATCACCCCGACCTCCTGCCAACACAGTGCTACTATGAAACTTTTGGATCTCTGCCTATCAGTCAGGTAAAAATGTTACTGCGCTTACATTTTCTTTTTTTTTTTTT